TAAGTGGAGTAATTTCATTAAAATTTGCTATAAATGATCTTTTACCTATTTCACAATATCCAGAAATCTTAGACATAATCACATATATCTCGAAAGAGAAGTAGACAATTTTTTACATTATTGTTTTTAACGATATCCGCGTTACATACTGCATTGCAGTTTTGTACTGATTTGCATATTACAAAGAAAGATATTATTAACAACAGCATAACCATTATAGATAACTACAATCAACATTAATGTATGTTGTGTGTATTATAATGTTTTCATCCAATTCTCATTTATTTTTACACTTAAATTTTTATTGATACAATTTTTGGCTGTTAAAATTGAGACGCTTTCTTTAAATTTTCTATTATACATATTTTTCTCTTTGTGTAGGATTTTAACATTATTTTTATCTATATTACAGTTATTTATTAAACAATGGTCATGAAAAACAGAGTTTAGTCGATTATATTTGAGATCTGCAATATGTTCTTTTACTCGTANTAACAGTACATAAAAAACAAAAGTTAAATGCAGATTGTAATGATGCTCAAAATGTCATTGAGGAAAAAACTGAGCAGAAAAAACAAACTAGTGGAATATGTTTACATGTAGGGAATAGAAAAGTATCATTAGAACTGTGTCATTATTGTAACGAAAAGGTTGAAAACAATGTATAATTTGGTTTTCAAATTATTGTAAATATTATATTGTGGTATAATTGTAATAATTTGAAAATATATACATTAATGGTAGCAATAGTTGAATACACATAGTAGTTAAGAATATTTCTTTTTCAGATGAATCAAGCCGAACCAATCTTTTGAGACTTGGCACCAACAGATGGTATGGTATATTAATTAGTGATCTAAAAAAAAAAGGCTTTATTGTTTTAATTTGAAACTGCTTATGGATTTCTATTTTTAGCTTGGTGTTCCAGATGGAAATCTACAAAGCAGGTGAGACAAAAAAAAAATGATTATATTTTATATAAAAATATAACCATTTTATAGTTACATTTATAACCATAGATTATATCATTAGTGCACAAGAATAGTGACACAACTCAAAAAAAATAGTTCTTCCAAAACAGCCATTTAAAAGTTTTTTTTATTTTTGCAAGGCTTTGTCACGATCTTGGATTTTTAAAATTTTCAATCTTTTTTGGAAATAAAGATTTGAAAACTATTAGATCACAACTCAAAAAAATATAAATAGTTTTGGAAGAACTATTTTTTTGAGTTGTGTCACTATAAACTATATAGAAATTATAACACTGAAAATGATAAATTACCTCTTTTCAAGTTTGAAAGGCCAAATGCTCACAAGTTTGAAAGGTCAAATGCTAAAAGAATTTTAAAAATAGTTTCACCTCCCAAGTATATGTCTTTGAATAAACCAGGTGTCGATATTAAAAAAATGACTGGGGACGCGCGAAGCAAAAAGCGTACCGAGGAATTTAAGGATAAGGAAGAACGCAGGAAGTCGTCGAGTGGATCGCAGAGTAGTGATTCCGACGATGGTAACGGTCAATGCATGTTGAAGAATGCTATAGCGGCTAGAGAAAATAGAGAAAAAAAGAAAAAGTACTTGAAAGATTTAGAAGAGTCGTACGTCAGTTTTGCTTCCGAAAACGGTAGCTTAAAGGCCGAGAATGCCACGTTACGAGAAGAAAATAAGAATTTACATAAAGAAGTCGAATATTTAAAAAATGTTATAGCAAATTCGGAAGAACTTGGAATTTTGATAAAAGGAGTTCAGACTATTCCGGGATTAAAGTGGAAGTCTCCCATTAAGAGAAAAGAAAGTGGAGATTCGTCTAATGACTTAACAGTACATAAAAAACAAAAGTTAAATGTAGATTGTGATGATTCTTGAAATGTCATTGAGGAAAAAACCTTCGTATTGGAGAGGAAGAACACCGGTTACAGGCAGTGAAGTGAGGTAATTTGTGTCACTATCTTGTGCACCAATGATATACATGAAAATATAAAGTCAAAGAATAAAAATAGTTATATTTTTTATTAAAATATAGCCATTTTAATTGATTAAATATTATATTCACGTATAACATTTTATTGAGGTTTATGTTGCCTTACTAATTACATTAGAGAGATTTTTTGAAATGAGAATTTTGTATTTGATATTTATCAGTGAAGCTACCTAAATGAAATGATTCTTTCAAAAACAATAGAGTATGGAGTAAAATGATTAACTTGAAAATTTCATTATAGGTATGTAGATTTATTTGTTTTGCATTTATTTTTAATAAGACGTTGAAAAACATTTGTAATTACAAATAACAAATTTCTGATTTCTTTTTTTACGAATGATTATGATCAAAATTTTAATGCACTAATACAATTAACAAATGTTTCCTTGGGAATTATTTCGTTTAAAATTGAATAAATAAGTGCAGAATGCTAATCTGTTCCTATCAATATTCATTTTATTAATAAAATTGTAAGAATTTAAGAATTAGAAATTTTGTTATACTGTATATACGTGCATAATATAAATGCAATTTCCCTGTAAAACATCCTAAATGAAAATTTTGTACAATGAACTAAAGAACATATTCTAATACAAATCCAGCAAATTTAAGATGATAATCATAAGTATTAGTAAATACATTCTGAAAATGAGTTAGGCAAATTAAAATTTAATTACTCAATGATATAATAAGTTTTTTTTAAACTTACGAACACTTTTTTATCAATATCAAAGTATCTATTTTCCTTTTACAGTTTAAATATAAATAGTAAGTAAATTTATTAACCAAATAGCTGGTTGGATTTAAGGAGATTGATTTCTAATATAATTAAATAATTAATTAAATTTCAGTCTAAACCTGGTGTAAATGAATGAGCTGTAATAAGCTTATATAAATCATAANACTAACAGTGCTACATTTTATTAATTTTTTTCTCTCGTATATCTATCCCTTTGTACTTTCCATTTTTCCTCCGCTTTCTCTATTATAATATAGAAAATTTAAATTAATAGACTGGCATTCCAAATTCAAATAAAGAACGTGTGATCTAAATACTAGGCCTATATATCGATTTTACTAGACCTACCCGTGTTGTTTGTAATTTAGCACCTATGGCCATCCATAAACGTTGTTTAAATATAGTGTCTTTATACATGACACTGATGTGGTCGAACGGATTCAATAACTCCTCTATTTCATTTATTTTTCGTTTTTTCGAGACCGTCACAGTTGTAGGGTTAACCTTTTTATACTCGCCGCCCATCAAATATTGTATAATTTTTTTGTGACCCCCATTTTCTAAAATAATAATTTATATTTGTTAAATTATCTCTATTTCATTTATTTTTCGTTTTTTCGAGACCGTCACAATTGTAGGGTTAACCTTTTTATACTCGCCGCCCACCAAATATTGTATAATTTTTTTGTGACCCCCATTTTCTAAAATAATAATTTATATTTGTTAAATTATCTATAATAAATTGATTTCTTTTAGTATCGCTTTATTTTTTAAATTCCAAGCATTAATAGTTTCTTAGAATTACTTTGGAATAAAAGAAATACTGCGGTGTAAGTAGCATATTTGCATTTATTTCTTCTGTACTAACAAAGTTGTATGTAGGAAGAAATAAGAAATAAATAAATAAAATTAAATACGAAAACTTTATCTTTCTTATTTCACTTTTCTATACGATATTCGGTTATACATCAATTTTCTTTTTATTATATTCTGAAATTTTGCATAATTTGGCGGCCCCCGGCAAACTTCTTTTGGACCTCCAGGGTGCCGCGGCCCCCTAGACTGCCCTAGACCACTGACGCGCAATTAACTGATTGCCCCTGGAAGTTGGCTTCTCAGAGAAACACAGCTTTTCTATCATCAAATGTCACGGCACGTTACTGGGTTGGGTTAAGTTATAAATCTACTCGTTATTTACGTAATCGAAATATCTAGTGAGCAGGCGGCTAACAGCCCAGAACCGGTCCTTGATAGAATTGGAATCTTTATATGTGTGCAGCTTTCACCCAAGGTCGTAGGCTTCCACCGGCTAAACCGAGTGAGGTTGGTGCTCTGTAAAGGGCATGCGCAAATCTGGCTTTTCGTAATCTGAAAATACAGGAGATTCCACTCCGCCACTACTATTCTAATATACAATAGCAATTTATTTTCCACGTGTAGTATAGAAATTTGTAATAAGATACATAATGCGGTTATAATAAAATATTGTGCGATTATTTTAATATAATTAAAATTAATATTTATTTATTTTTTAGAGAATACGAGGGAAGCTGCGCTTCCAACGCTTCTAATGACGGCACGCCACTG